TTATATATATAGTGAACAGGTGAATTTAGTTTTGACGGTGAGAACTAGTAGTATGGCACTTCAAAAAAACAAAAAAAAGCCTTCCCCGCATAGGTGAATAAAACATAACAACGTGGGCCCTTATAAAACCGGTTTGGCTGAGAGCAGTTGTCCATGTTGTATTGAAAGTGAACTTGGACAAATAATGGGGACAGAGACCTTTGATCATGAAAATGTGTCCCTGCGTGCCTTTGGAAACAGTTTGAAATGTGGCCATCCATAGCTGCATTAAGTAAAATATTAAACTTTGTGGGTTTTTCCTGTAGCTCATCCATAGAGGAATATATTCATGGCTACAGTAAAATTATCATCTTACTATTTATTCTTTAATTTTGAAAGCTTTATTTAAGGGGTGAGATGATCTTTCCATATGATAAATTTATAATTCTTGAATTATTTGGGTAACACTGTCTTTTTATTTTTTTTAATAACAATGAAATTATTATATTGCTTTTAGAGAGTAAACAAGTAAAACCTTTCATTTAAAGGCTATTTAATAATTTTAATTTTATTATAAATAATTGAATTGTGCATGTATCTTTACTATGAATATTTGCTAGCCTTGGCTTTGGGGCTTGAAAAATCTAGGGGCATTTTTATTTATTTATAATTTTATAAATAGTTGAATTATTTTATTATCCTTACCATTCAATTTTTTTTATATAAATAAACGTACTAACACTTTATTTTTTTATATTTATTAATATAAATAATTCTCGTATGTTTTTTAATTTATAATTAGAATCTTCTTGAAAAAATAAATTTTAAAAAACTTGCTGATTTATTTTTTTATCAAACAAAATTTATCTGATCCGCGATTAAGCAGATGTCATTTTAGTCTAAAACTCGTGCCAAGGACTTTTCGATAGCTTGCCACTTTTGACCACATGAGCGCAGACCACCTTTGCAAATCTCTTCGAAACAATTGAAGTGAAGGATTTGAATCATTCTTTTATTTTTATTCTCTGTTTTCTTTATATTCTATCCTCTCAATTATCAAAACAAGTTCTTGATTAATTAGTATGATTCGACTTTCCACTGAGCATTTTCCTAGTATTAGAGGACATTTGATCCCCAAGTTTGGTAAATCTGGACGCTACGGCTCAACCGAGATCGACTGATCAGTCGGGAGGCAAAAATCATTTCAGGTTCGAGATTAGTAGGGCTACTGATATTGGAGATAGTTAATAAAGAATAATTAAAGAAGATTGCGACAAAGAGATTTCTAGTAAAAATATGAATTTGAATATAAGTAGTGTATTTAAGACTTGATTAAAAACGAATTTAATCTCAATAGATAGAAACTGATTAGAGTAAACAGCAATATTAAAAACAAACGAAAAGATTATGCCTAAGATATGTTAAATGATTAGTTGTAAATCCCATCCATATACTTGTTTTAAAAACTAATATAAAATCATTTTAGAAATTAATGACACCTAATAATTAAGATTCTAAGATTAAAACATTTACCAATATAATATCAAAATCTCTTTAATCAAATCAAAGGGAGTTTCGATTCCAAATAATTTCATCATTTTCAACATTCACAACTTCATTCCATGCTTCTCTGATAATTAAGTGTTCGGAAAAAATTATTTGAATATATTTTTAAATAAAAAACATTTTTAACAAGTAATCTAAGCTGCAGTAACGATCACATAGATAGGTATAGAGGTAAAATTGTTTCATTTCTTGGAATTCATGTGCCTCTGGAAGACTGGAACTTACAAAATTGCTCTCTTCCTTTATTATTTCAAGTTGGGTACAATAATGTGCGTTCTCTCCATGTGCCTCGTTGTGGGGCTTGGAAAGGGACGTCTCGGTAGAAAGCTTGCCTTTTCCACTATCAGGAGGTGGCCATTTTTACCACATAGAGTAGGCCGCCTAAGTCTCTGTCTTTTCATAGACTACAAGAATTTTCCTAGTAATGAAATACAAAATCCCACGACCTCACAAAGCTCCATCACCCCTTTCCTTCTGCAACGTGATACTGATCGCTCGCCTGCTTAAAGTCCATCGCCGTTGTCTTTTCTATTCAGCTAGCACTCTCAGTTTTTATTTCCCAAGTTGGTTAGAGACTGAACTTGGACTCTCCTTAGAGGGCACCGGAAATCAACAAAAGATGCTCGTGATTTTGTAGAATTTGACTTCAAACTTCAAAGTGCTTAGGAGAGACTGCTTGCCCTAATTTCTTTCACAAAATCTTAAGGTGTTGGAATCTCCAAAAGCGAAAGCTCATTAGGTGGAAAATGACGCCGGTTTCATGGAAAGGACGGGTTCTACAATCTTGTGGTTTTAATCAACCTTATCACCTCATACAACCAAAGTCATACCACCCATTTTTTTTCTTCCATCAACTTGGTATGTTTATATCTTTTACTAAAAAATTAAGCTATTTTCACACATACTAATTTATATTCATATCCACCAATTTTTGTCTACTGATATGATATTTATATTTAGATTGATATGTTTATATGCAGAAGGCTCCATTCTCCTCGTTTCTTTTGAGTTCAAACACAGCATACTAATTTAATTAAACTTATTTATCATCTAAACTAAGGCTGAAGGAATCCTTGAATGCGTATAATTAATATTTTTTTTTTAATTCTATATTTACTCGTTGAAGTCCGAACCCCCTCTGTTTCCTCAGCTCGCATCTCGAAAAGTTGGTCAACGAACGATTGGTTGGGGAGTTGAATCTGTAGACAATATACAAGTAGGCAAACCCTTACGGCTATAGAATAATAATATACTCATATCGAATTTAATATTTTGCGGATAAATGGAAACCGATAAAACATTTCATTATCTGTGGACTTAGGATTCTCATAATGGTTTTACTTTTAGATTTTCTTGCTGCTGAAGATTAGATGATCCAGTCAGTAAGAATCTCTAATAATTAATTTCTCCTTGGCCAAATTGAATTGATCAAACATAAACAGTACGAGCCAACTTAGAGATCTCTGTCAATTCCTTTGTTTCTAAGTTAAAGTCAAAATACATTATACTATGAGGAATAAAATTAAGTGCATATGGATAACCAGCTTTCGAAGAGATGGAAAAATGAACTACAAAAGAAAATCCCAATTATTTCATATTTAATTGAAAAATCCAGTCTAACGTGACAAATTAATTTGACAATCCGTCAACTCCAAATCATTTTAATAAAAAAACTGAGTTGATTCAGCAACTTGTGAATTGATCTGGCCAACTTATAATCTAGGATCAAACCCCAAATCTTATACACATGATTTTATACCAACAAGCACTTGGATGGTTATGGATTTTGGATTATTTTCAATATTCCCTTCACGTCTTCTTGAAATGGTTCATCTACAAGTAGAGATTACTTTGATCAATAATAATCTGACAAGTATTGCACAAGCATATTCCAATAACCTCTTGCCTTGTATGAACGCTACATGTGGTTTAAAGTAGTTTGAAACAAACGACCATGCAAGCCTAATTTTGCCAAAAAATCACTGCCGGAAGTGCTTCTTGATATAAACCAATATGAACCAGTCACACTTTCCGACATCAAATTTCAGTGCTAGTCATTATCGTCATATGACTTTCTCATCATAATCATTGTTCCACAATATCATTTTATGATCACACATTCTCCTCCACATCATCTCCGCATAAAGGAAATGGACAACACGAGACGAACGGATCACAAGAAAATTTGTTTGTCAAGAAGTAGCAAAGGTTGAAGAAAGTGTTGAAGGCGGATCATTGGATAAGTGTTGAGCACCTTTTCGCTCTAAATTTAAAGTTTATTATTCTCCAAATTAGCAGCAGATTAACGTGCATTGAATATATGCTTAAGTGATAAGTGCTAATGATTTACTTAAGCCAATAGGGGTCGTGTAAGAAATTCGTTGTGCATATCCTTAAAGAGGCTGAGATGGTTTTTGACTTCTTAACATTTTCATCGCCGGCTCTACCACAAACGTCAAGGCCATCGTTGCTTTGTTGACTGCCGGAATTGTGATACTAATATGGGCAAAACCTATGTTCTTAAAGGTCCACTAGGAATAAGACGAGGCTTGTTGGCCCATTTGTAACTAAATGGATATAATGGCTTCAAAGTTTACAAATTACTTATGGCTTACTTTTATTTGTTTATTTATTTTTTTAGTTTTTTTTTAGGCTTATACATTTAATTGGCCATCGTCGAGAGTTGTTGGGCCTTTTGTGCCACCTTCAAGGAGAGTGGACTTTTCCCAGAAACAAAAAATCGACTCTCACCTCCAAGGAAAGTCTGAACTCTCGGCCTGCTATTTAAAGCAACAAGATGAATACCAACTGGACTGGAGTGGAGTGAGCTGCGTCAATTGGCTGAGCCCAATCTGACTCTGCCTGCCAACTCTCTCTCTCTCTCTCTCTCTATATATATATATATATATATAGTAAAAGGATTAATGAATGAATAATGTATACGTAAAAAAGGGAATAAAATACAACTTTTAGGTGGGTTGTTCATGTGAGATTATTATGCCATAAATAATGTTAATTGTATCTCGTTTTTCTTTTTTGAAAGATCTCCTATATTAAATGAATTAATTAATTATCTCATTGATTTAACGATTGAAATTCTTCGAGAATTGATTTCATGAAGAATTTCGGGATAAAAAGCTAAGAAATGGCATGGCGATTGCTTTGATCTAACAATTTTTTATTTGAAATAATTCTCAACAACGCCATGGCGAATGCTTTGTCTTCTGAAAATATTTTTCACCCAATTTAAAGGGATACAAGTGTCCAGTCGAATCTTTGTTCCAACTGTTGAAACCAGCAATCTTGGTTTTGCTGGAGAAGGGTATCAAGATAGTTGTCGCGACCCTTGGTGAAGATGGGAGTTTTCTTATGCTCCAGAGGACCAAACTTGATGAGATTTAATTTCGGTAGAACCAAGAAATATGGATTCAGTGGACAGTTTTTTTTAGCAAGTAGATTTTCTGGTGCTATGCAGATCAAGAGAAGCTCTCATCTTTTTTCTGTACATTTTCCTGCACTTCCTGCATCAGTTGTGACACTTGCTTCTATCTGTTCAGGTTTAGATGTTCGGCAGAGCATTGCGGTCGGTATGGCAGCAGCCAAAACTTCCGTGGAGGGAGAGGAGATTGCGCCTTCACAATTTAGTTTGGCCACAATTGCTGGTGTACATTCGAGGCTGCACCATTTACACAGAATCTTGAGGAACTATTGTTTCTCGTTAAAATAACATTGTATTAGAATTTTACTGCATTAGGGTTCTGCATTTAACGTAGCTTTAACGAACCAGAGGTTTCATGTTCTCATTGCAAAAAAATTGTTTATCAATTATTATCGTAATGATAATGATTATAAAGATGCAATACCAGTTACAGTAACTATTATCTTATCCAAAGAGGAATCCTTCCAGCAGTTTCAGTTATTTATTCCACTTTCCTTCATATTTAATTCTACTAAAGACATCAATAGCCATAGATAATTATGTGATGATATCTTTCCGATGAGATAAAAGAATTTTTGTTCTTATTTATTGTTTTAATTTTTTTTTAATTTTTTAATTATTAATTAAATATTAATATTAATTAAAGAACATTGATTTAAAAAAATAAATTAAATATTAATTAAAAAAATAATTAGAAAATAAAACAGCAAATATAAAAATGAGTAATAACCAGTAAAGACTGGTATAATTCAATTCAACATTTAAGAATCTTTTGACACATGTTTTCAAAAAATTTAATATATATTTTTTATTAAAATTTAATATATTTTGGATTGTTTTAATATGCTAATATTAAAAATAATTTTTTAAAAATAAAAAATATTATTAATATATATTTTAACATAAAAAATTATTTAAAAAGTAGTTACAAACTACCAAACAAGCTATTGATCTAAACATAATCATTTTCACATCATTCAAAACGGAGGCATCCGAAATGCCAAGGAAATTATCATATTTCACTGGTGAAAGGCTGGGGACTCTGCCAATGCAAGCCCAGTGTAGATGGCCAACTCGACCAATAACCTCGACTCTGTTAAGGTTTTACAAATAATCGCCGGATCATATCATCCCATTAAGGCCGTAACCAGTGATTTTTCTGATTTTTTTTTTGGTGCAGACGGTGCAAGGTCCATATATTCGGCTGCCAAGGTTTTGTTTCACGAATCAATGCATCAGCCCATGAGTATCGTTGTATGTTGAAAAATACGAAAATACAACGCTGAAGTGGCGAACCACTCGCATAGTTGTGGATCAAACTGGGACTGAAGTTTCAGCGTGCCCCACTAAGTACAGGGAACCTTTTTCTGAGAAGCATGTCAATCTCTCATCTGCCAATGGGATCCATGTTTTAAGTTGTTCATCTGGTAGTAACAGCTAATTAACTAAATGGCTTGAGTGTGTGTTCTTGTTTGATTTGTTTGAAGGAACCGTGTTTGATTTCTATAAATTTAAGTAATATATTGAAATAATATTTTTTATTTTTTAAAAACTATTTTTAATATAATACAATATCTATATATATTAAAAAAAAAAACACGACAATGTTTCCAAACGCTTCCTGAATATTTCTCAAACCATCGCGTAAAACATGCAGCGCACCCTGCCCAAACCCAATGAATCAAGTATAAAATAAACAACACGTAGGTATTTAATTCATTCATCGTTTTGTTCTTCACTTGGAGCAACTCTTAAACCTCACTGTTCAACATCCCTCCTGCAATTCAATTCATTCATCGTTTTGTTCCATGTAATCATAGTAAATGAGGTCCTTAAGAGGTGGACTAATACACCATGTCCGATCCATGAAGTCCGGTTTTACACTACCAATATTAACCTCTAATCAACTCATTCACTTGTACTCCAAACACTGCCTGATAAATGAAGCCCAGAAACTGTTCGATGAAATGCCTCGGAGAAATATTTACTCTTGGAACACAATTATATCTGCCCACGTAAAATCCCAAAACTTAGCACAAGCAAAATCCATTTTTGATTCCGCTTCTGTTAGGGATTGGGTCACTTATAATTCTATGTTATCTGGTTATGTGGACGTGGATGGATATGAACTAAATGCCCTTGAATTGTTTGTTGAAATGCACAGCAAGAGTAATGATATTGGTATTGATGATTTTACTGTTACAAGTATGGTTAAACTGTTTGCCAAGTTATCTAATTTGTGTTATGGGAGGCCATTGCATTCATATATGGTGAAAACTGGTAACGATAGAAGCGGGTTTGTTGTGAGTTCTTTGATTGACATGTATTCGAAATGTGGGTGTTATAAAGAGGCCTGCGGTATCTTTAGAGGGTGTGAAAAAGAAGGTGGTATTGCTTTGGTTTCAAAGAATGCGATGGTGGCAGCATGTTGTAGAGAAGGGGAAATGGAGATGGCTTTGGGGTTGTTTTGGAGGGAAAATGAGTTGAACGATTCGGTTTCATGGAATACATTGATTTCTGGTTATGTTCAAAATGGTTATCCACTGGAGGCATTGAAGTTGTTTGTTTGTATGGGGGAGAATGGTGTTAAATGGAATGAGTACACTTTTGGTAGTGTTTTGAGTGCTTGTGCTGATTTAAGGAACTTGAAGATTGGTAATGAAATGCATGCTTGGATTTTGAAGAATGGATTGAGTTCTAGTGATTTTGTAGAAAGTGGCATTGTTGATGTTTATTGCAAGAGTGGGAATATGAAGTATGCAGAGTCATTCCATTTGACAAGCGGGACTGGCAGTTCCTTTTCCATCACTTCAATGATTGTGGGGTATTCTTCACAAGGAAACATGGTGGAAGCTTGTAGGCCTTTTGATTTGTTGGAAGAGAAGAATTCTATCCCTTGGGCTGCATTATTTGGTGGTTATGTCAAATTGAATCAATGCGAAGCTATTTTTGAACTTCTATGCTTGTATATAGCCAAGGAAGCAGCAATTCCTGATGCTTTGATCCTTGTCAGTGCACTTAGTGTGTGTGCATTCCAAGCTGCGCTCGGTCCTGGGAAGCAAATTCATGGTTATGTATACAGAGTGGGGATTGAAATGGACATCAAGATGACTACTGCTATGATTGATATGTACTCAAAATGTGGAAGTGTACCATATGCAGAAAAAATGTTCCTGAAAGTTATTGACAGAGATTTAGTCCTTTACAATGTAATGATAGCTGGTTACGCTCATCATGGGTATGAGATTAAAGCCATAAATCTGTTTCAGGAAATGTTGGAGAGAGGAATTGGACCAGATGCTATTACCTTTGTTGCCCTCCTGTCAGCTTGCCGTCACCGTGGGTTGGTAGATTTGGGTGAACGAACTTTTTATTCCATGACAGAAGATTATCACATACTGCCTGATACTGATCACTATGCATGCATGATTGATCTTTATGGAAGGGCTAGCCAGCTAGAAAAGATGGTCCTATTCATGCAAAGAATCCCTATAGAAGATCAAGATGCTGCCGTGGTTGGGGCATTTTTTAATGCATGTAGGCTAAATAAGAACACAGAATTAGCAAGAGAGGCAGAGGTGAAACTGTTAAAGATTGAAGGTGATAGTGGAGCTCGTGATGTGCAGTTGGCTAATGCTTATGCAGCAGAAGGGAACTGGGCTGAGATGGGTAGGATTAGGAAGGAGATGAGAGGAAAGGAGGCCAAGAAGTTTGCTGGTTGTAGTTGGGTATACTTGGATAATGGAGTCCATACTTTTATCTCTGGTGACAGAACTCATTCAAAAGCAGTGTGTATCTATTCAATGCTGGACTTCTTGACATCAGAACTATATGAAATCGCTGGGGCATTCTGTTTGATAATGTTTTGGAGGGTTGGCATGACAACATGGTTGAAAAGCTTGAACAGCCTGCATTTAGGATGGAGAGTTGGAAACTTGGGGTTGCCGCTGATGTTAAGTGATCACATTGAAATATTCAAAAGCTAGTCTATCGTGAGAGAACTTATTGTCTACTACCATGAGTTCTCACCTTTTCTCATGGTTATTATTCTTATTTCTACAAAAATATGTTTTCTGTGCATTTATTTGTTCTCTTCTTCATCTATCAGAAAGTTTGGAAGTCAACGAGAGGATCTTTGTAGAGAAGGAGCTCGGTGATGCAAGAACTTCTACAGCACTATAGCATTAAAAAAAAATTGACTTTATTGGGAAAGATGAGAAGATCATGTTCTGATTCCAATGTCCCTTTCTGGTATGTGCATAGATTCAGATTTCTTATGTGATGCTTTGTCCCTGCATGCTGGGAAAGCAACTCCATATTGTATTGGTCAATGAAGTCTTACCATTGGGTTCATATCAATTTTTATAGTCATGTATGAATATTTTGTACTACAAATAACCTTTTTTCCGGATACGATACCATTTAGGAGTTTTTTTTTTTTTTTGGTCATTCTGAAACAGGTTAATAGACTGGAGCTATGAGGAGAACCATTACTGAAGCCAAAGTGAACATCCAGATGGAGATGCTACAAAGCAAGATGTTCAGTGTAATAGCAACCATCACAACTGTTTTGTTACTAGGACTGGAAGTTCTTCCAAGCCAAAGGTCAAGTCTCCTAAGGATTTGAACAGTACATTTGGCTATCCTTGTGTGGGTTTTGTAAGCTGAAAATGTGGTCACATGCATCTTCAAGGAGCCATGCTGCAGTTCTACCATGGTTTCCTAATGCTCCAGCAACACAACCTTGTTTTATGAGATTTTTATTGATAAATCCTTTGATTGGCCCCAAAATTCTTTCGTTGGCTGAAGTACATGCACCTCCAGAGGATCTCGTCTTCCACAAATTTTATGTGAATAAAATGAAAACCTTTGAGAGCCAAATAAGGCAGCTGAAGAATTGTTTGATGTGGATGATGACGATGAAGTGGTTGGTGATGATGAGAACGATAATGAAGAGATTGATAATATGCTAGACCCTGCTGATCTGTCTCTTGTAGCAGAAAATGAGTAGGACTCATGATTTGAACCAAGCTATGAATGGAGATGACGAAGACTTGCTTCGCAATGTTGACAGTGCAGAGGTGGATGCCCTCTCAGATACTGCGGAAGGGGAAGATTTTTTCACCGTTAATGTAAGAGGTACGATGACATTGCGGATGCGGATTATGGTTTCGGTGAGCAAAAAAAATGAAAACGGAAGTCTAAGGGGAAGTTAGGCGCATCCCCATTTGCAAGCCTTGAGGATTACGAGCACATATTAAATGAAGATGGTCCAACAAAAAACAAAGGAAAAGGGAAAGATCGAACAAGTCTAAGTCATGAAAGGACTCCTTAACAATGCTGGTTTATGTGCACTGTTTAGAGCCTTCAAATTCAAATATTCTAAAAGAAAATATTAGAGAGTAGAATTTGCTGTATATTAGTGATTTTCCCCACCCGCTTGGAAACTGATGCTAAGTTACAACTTACAAGCAAGGTCATGCTTTTGGTCAGTAAAGCAGCATATGACCGATTTGGCCGCAATGGATTATTGAGATTTGAGAATGTATATGCATAACAGCATGTATCTTTTTTTTAATTGAATAATTTTCGTCAAAGTTTGCCCATCAATTGCCTGGTAGTGAAATGGTTTGCTCTTCCGGCTGCTCACAAACGCTTTCTCCCTTATATAGCCTGGAAACTTTAAGCCTCTTGTTTACTTGTATCAGTATCGGTACATATTTCTAACGTGAATGCTTCTGGTTTGGTGAAATGGAAATGGCTTTGAAGTTGTTTTGCTGAGAAGATGAGTCGAAGAATTCGGTTTCAACTGGTAATTAATCCAAAATAAAAGAGGTAAACCAAATTAAACAAGAGTAGTAGTTACGTTAAAAATGTCAAAGTACCAGAAAAACAATTATAGTAATAATGGCGTCGCCCGGATTCGAACCTGAGATTATCTCATATTACTGGATTTCAATCCTTCAGTGTGTTAGACTGACGTGATAACCAACTACACCACGACACCTATTTTGGCATGTTATTATTTTATAATACCTTTAATTATCTTTTTTATTATTCCCCCGTCGAATTCCAGTAACATTGTAAAAAAGGCATCAGACTGTGGATTGTGTCCGTTATAATCCACACAGTAAAATAAGTAATGTTTCTCTAAAAAAATCAAATAAATCAATAGTTAATTAAATATTCAGGAGTAATTTTGTATTTTTATTATAAGTATAAGTACTCTTATCGTTCTTTTTCTTTGTTTTGGACTCTTTTTTAGATTTTTTTCTTGGTTTCATAAAGTTCTATTTGATTTGATTTGATTTATATATCCAATATAAAATTTATTTTCTTTATTGTTTTTTTTTTATCATTTTCTTGGGTTTCTTTTTAAGTTTTATTCCTCGTAATCTTATTGAATTTGTTTTTCTAGATTTAATATTTATTTTTTAATTTTTTTCTTTTAATTTTATTTTTTATTTTTTAATTCAATCTTAGTTTTTATTTTTATTTATTTATTTATTAAGTCTTTTATTATTTTTTCTATTAATTTTTACATTAAGTTTAATCTCGTTGTTTTAATTATTTTTTGTTTTTTAATGGTTAAAAAATTTGATTAAGATTGTTTTTAGTTCTGTGAATGATTATTTTGATTTTATAATTAAAATTACTGGTTTTAAATATTAAACTAATTTAAAATTAAAATTTTTATTTTATTATTTAACATTAAATTACTCAACATTATTTTTTTCCCCTGAGATTATCTCATATTACTGGATTTTTCTTAAGTTATTATACTTCAATATTTTTTTTATATTAGAAAAAAATTAATTCGTCCTGCAAGGATTGAAAAAATATCTAGTACAAACTATATTACCTGTCATTTTCTGTATATTTTTTCTTCACACGCTCCCCTCCCCTCTCTCTGCAAATCATCGAAGAATTTCCATGGCGTTTCCAGGAAAGGTAAGAATCCATACATCAGAATTTGTTTCTTATCTCTCTCTACATCTCCTAATTTAATCTAACTCCTAGTTTTTCAATACTTTTATCTTCTTAAAGTAAACTCGCTTGAGTAAAGAAATTATGTTTTTTTCTTCCTTTAATCCTGTTATTCATGAAATTTAAAGATCTTCAAATTAACAACAACAACAAAAATTAAAAGTCATTTTTTTCGGTTTTGTAGGTGGGATTGCAATTGCTTCTTTCACCACTGAGTTCCAACATTGTTGTCCGGACAGCTTGGTAAAAACCTCGCTTTTTTCTCGCATTCTAGTCAGAGTTAATTGGGCTATGTTTTCGATATTGAATAATGGGGTTTCTGCAGCTGTTCTGTTGGAATTGCTTTACCTATTTACTCAACATTTAAGGCTATTGAAAATAAAGATCAAATCGAGCAACAGAGATGGCTTCTCTACTGGGCTGGTTTGTACCGACTCGTTTTTTTTTTTTTTTTCCTGTTATCATTAAAAGATTGCCATACTATACTGATAAGTTGATATCATTGAGCGTTTTTATCCTCTTGCAGCTTATGGATCTTTTAGCCTCGCGGAAGTCTTTGCAGATAAAATTCTCTCCTGGTATGGTTCTGCCCAACATGATTCTTTTTGGGCTTCAGCTATGAAAGTATTCATTGTGTTAGGGAAATCATTTGGTGATGCTCTCTCATGGATGGTCAAATTATGCTATTCAATTACCTTGTTTGTTTAAATGTTTTACACTATGTTATGTTGTTTTTACTTGACTAAATCATGACCTCTGATGGATTTATTTTATTAAAGCTTGCATGTGAATGGTAGTCATGATTGTGTTAATTAAAAACTCCACACAGCATGTTTGCAGGGAACAGAAGTATCCCTTGTTTGATAGTTGATGGAAAACCAATTGATAATGGTGGTAGAACCCACAAAAAAGCTCTATAATGAAGCTCACATAAAATGATGACAGTTTTAAATTGATCTTATATATATTCTTGCTGGGATTGGTCATTTCCTTGACTTACTGATGTCGGTCATTTCTTTACTTTAGTTCTGCAGTAAGTATGTGAGCTCATTCGCACATGTATTAAGTATGCAGGGTTCATTTAACAACATTGACAATGATTTTCCCTTTTTTTTCAAGTTAATTTGGTCACGGTTCATGGTTTTACTGCATTATCTGTACGAGGTATCACAATCAGAAAGCTCTTTTGTCTCTTTCAATAGGTTTCCTCTTTACCATCACATGAAGTTTGCATTTCTTGTTTGGCTACAGCTCCCATCTGCAAATGTAAGCTTCATTTTTCCACCTTTACTTTGTGGATCAGTTTTTCTTCAAGCATGCCTTACATTTTTAGGGGTAAAATGAATGAAAGTACAAGCTTTCAGATGAAATTGATATGGTTAATGAATATTCTAGTACTGCGTGTTTTGGAAACTCTATTCGAGTATGGTTAATAAATCCATGTTATATTAGTATATCACTTATTGTCTAAAATAACAAAATAGTTTATGTTGATAACTGTTTGCTGTTTATCTAACAGGGAGCTGGGCAATTGTATATGAGCCATCTACGCCCATTCCTGTTGAGGCATCAAGCCAGACTTGATAATTTTGTGGAGTTTCTGTATGGTGAAATGGTAAGGATTTGTGCCATTACTAATTGTGATTAAAATAATTGGATTATTAAATTTGGGTCTTCCTTGTCTAGTATGGTAACATCATGGTATGCACAATGAGAATAAGGGCAGGAGAGCATTCAGCTCCATGCCTGAATCCCCTTGGCTCATCCTAAACATTAGCCCGATCTAAGTTTTCGATGTTTGAAAAACATTGTGTAAATAGACAGTCTTGATGGCAGGTGGCATAATTGGTAAAATTTGTGTGCCTTGTCGGACTTGGCATAATTGGTAAACTTTGTCTGCCTTGTTGGACTGGGCGTCTAAACTAATTTACTCAAATAATATAACTTATGGTTTGGAAATTGAAAGTGACCTGATGGATTTCTGGATTTGCAGAATAAGTTTGTCAGTGCACATCAAGCTGAATTTCAGTTTGCAAAAGCACTTTTAATGAAGATTCTGGCATCAGGTATGGATTTGGATTGAACAAGCAATTATTTAGATTGAATACCTTATATTATTATTCTAAATGAAGTTTCAGCACTAGAATATATGTTTATCAAACATTTTTTGCCTAAATCGGTAAATAATCTGTTGTGTCAAGGTCTTCATGATGTCTATATTGTTTTTAATAAAATTGTTCTCTTTTTTTGTGATCAGTGAACCAAATAGCTCGTGATGTGATTCGCCCAGGGGGAAGACAGGCAAATGGCACCTTTCAAGGCCCAGCCAGGCGAATCCAGGATTCACAATCTGACGGGGAAGATTAGGGCTTCCTTCCTGACAAGCAGAATTCGCTGATAGGAGTATAGCTGTATAGGTGGTAGTTGACATTTTTCTTTCTGACAGGCCTGAGTTAAGTTTATGTAAGTTTTCGAATCTGGATATGGAGTAATGGAAAGCATCAGCTGTATATATGTAGGCCATATATAAGAATCTGAGCCAAGGATTACCAATTGCCATTTGTTTGAAAAACTGGAATTTAAAATATGACATGCCCTTCTGTGTTTAATAATTTCTTTAGTTTTTGAAGCAATAATTCGGTTTTCTTGCATTAAATGGAGAGAGAAGTTTTTTTTGTATCTTGGAGGGTGGTGCCAGGTAATGCATGATAGGGTCAAGGTATCTTGTTATAAAAATGTCCAAGGGCCAGGCTAATTTCATATTCTCAATGCTTGAGCCTTTGAGGCCCCCCCGTTCTACTCCTGCAGTTAGAAAATTAAGATCCTCTCTGAGTCGGGTTTTTATGAAGGTATGGTGAAGGTTGGAAGTTCGATTTCAATCTACAGAAAAGGCAAAACAACATGTTTACCCCTGTTCACTGCAAACGTTGGATAGTTTCAATCATTTAATTGGCGAAGTCATATAGCTCATGCCTTATCGAATTTCACTCGCATTTGTATGAGAAAGATAAAACTCTCGAAAGTAATAGTTTGATGCGGATGAATAGGAAGATGGATTTTTAGGTTAATAGATGCGAGGCTGGATTAGTAATGACGGAGAGATTCTTTTTTCCTTGAATTTTTAGATTTAAGACTATTGTCTAAAAGAAATTTATTAAATTCTTTAAAATGCAATTAATCAATTTGGGGTCTGCATCTGCGCGAAGATTATTATTTTTTAATTCTTATCCACAATGACGATGACGATTGTTTATAGATGATTTGAATTCATAAATTAATAATAATAATAATAATAATAAAGTATTAAATAATAGTATGTGCTTTGATTAACGTATAAATTAATATAATTATAGTTTACTTACAAAAAATGGAAGAAAGAGCCTATTAGAATGATAGTATGTGATTTGATTATAGGAATAGCCTATTTATTTTTGTGTTTTAAAAATATTTTTAAAAAAATTTGATTTATTTTTTTACATTTATTTTTTATTTTTAAATTATTTTAATATGCTGAAATTTAAAATAAATTAAAAAGAAAATCAAAAGATATTATTTTAATATATTTTAAAATAAAAAATAATTTAAAAAATATCCGCTAATACAGATCTTCTAGAACAGCAAAACCTTATAAATAAGTCAACTAATCTGCCCGCTTGAGTTTGCGACTGCTGCTGCGCTACTGGTTTGCATTTTCTTCATGGGCGTCTGGGTTATGGTTGGATGGGAGTTTTTAAGAATTTTAATTTTTTTAATTAAATATTTAATGTTTTTAAATGGTTTTAATTTATTAATATTAAAAATAATTTATTTTTATAAAAATATATTATTTAAATGTATATAAAAAAAAAGACTTACAAACAACCTTTACTTTAACTGTGTTACGGCGGCATACACCCCCCCTCAACTACTCTGACCAACTCTCGCTGTCTCTGTCTCTCTCTCTTTCCCAATATGGAGTAAGAACTTTTCAACTCAATCGAACCGTTTCTCTTACCTTTCATGCACATTAGCAAAAAACAGCAACATTTGACTGAACCCATCTAAGCATAAAACGAGAAACCAAACACAACCTCTGCTTCCATCTTACACCAAGAAAGAAAGATGATTGGACGCAGAGATGGAGCGTTGATGCGAAACAACAGCAGCAATCAATCACTCCTTAAATCAAGAATTGCAATTGCAATTGTCATTGGGATGTTCCTTGGATGCATCTTCGCTTTCTTCTTCCCTCATGGAATTTTCTCTTCCAATTCTCCTCACTTTGACCACAACCACCTCACAAGATCCATTTCCCAGGTTTCATTTTCTCCACAGTTTTGATCTTTCCACTGTTTTTTTTTTTAATTTTTGAGTCATTCCCAATTGATTTACAAGATAATATTTAGTCTTTCTATTTTGAGGATTTTTTGTTTTGGAAATAAAGTGTGTTTTTTCCTTTGTTTGTATAAATTGGAGTGATTGATTTACCATATTCATCCTCCTGTTAGATGGGATATTCTAATTAACACGTTATTGTGTTTATTCTTGCCAATGATTCAAGTCTAAGTGGTGTTATTGGGATATTCAATGTATATTTATTTGATCTGTGTAGATTTGTTTACACTTACGGGAGTTTCATTAGCTAGTTGGCAGCTTTGAATTGGATGGGAGATCGGTAGGGTTAGATTATTCAACACAAATGATAATTCTGTTAAAGTTTCTAATTATGTGTTATATTAGGTGGTATCAACATCATGTGAATCATCTGATAGTCTGAACATGTTAAAAGCTGAGTTTGTGGCTGCATCGGAGAAAAATGCTGAGTTGAAAAAACAGGTTAATGTGTTGATTGAAAAGCTTAGATTGGCTGAACAAGGTAAAGATCATGCAGAGAAGCAAGTGTTGGTGTTGGGTGAACCGCATAAAGCTGGGCCTTTTGGTACTGTTCACGGTTTAAGGACAAATCCGACAGTCGTTCCAGATGATTCTGTGAACCCGAGACTAGCAAATATTTTAGAGAAAATTGCTGTTGGGAAGGAACTTATAGTTGCTTTGGCGAATTCAAATGTAAAGGATATGTTGGAGGTTTGGTTTAAAAGCATCCAGAAAGTAGGGATACCCAACTATTTGGTTGTTGCTTTGGATGATGAGATTGCCAAGTTTTGTGAATCAAATGATGTTCCAGTGTATAAGAGAGACCCAGACAAGGGAATTGATTCTGTAGGAAAGACTGGAGGCAACCATGCTGTTTCAGGACTGAAATTTCATATATTGAGGGAATTTTTGCAGCTCGGATACAGTGTTCTTCTCTCAGATGTTGATATTGTGTATTTGCAAAATCCTTTCCATTATCTTTATAGAGATTCAGATGTGGAATCCATGAGTGATGGCCACAATAATATGACAGCTTATGGTTATAATGATGTTTTCGATGAACCTGCAATGGGTTGGGCTAGATATGCCCATACAATGCGGATATGGGTTTACAACTCTGGCTTTTTCTACATTAGACCAACAATTCCTTCAATCGAGCTCTTGGATCGAGTTGCTAATCGGCTCTCTCATGGGAATGCTTGGGACCAGGCAGTTTTCAATGAGGAACTCTTTTTCCCTTCTCATCCTGGGTATGATGGACTTTATGCATCCAGGAGAACTATGGATTTCTATCTCTTCATGAACAGCAAGGTCCTCTTCAAAACTGTGAGGAAAAATGCTAACTTGAGAAAGATCAAGCCAGTGATTGTGCATATAAATTACCATCCTGATAAGCTTCCGCGTATGCAAGCGGTTGTGGAATTCTATGTCAATGGCAAGCAAGATGCACTGAGCTCTTTCCCTGATGGATCAGAATGATAAATTTTTGGATTGGTGTTTCTTTCCTGCTTTTCAGAAGATAGCCTCTACATTTTCATGCTTAACCCTTCAATCATGTTGTAGACTTGTAATGAATTGTCCAAAACAAATTGTAAGGCCAAAGCCACCACAGCTAGGACCCAATGGGAGCAGCACCATCATCCCCAGACAATCCTTATCAAATGTCCATGTTGGAAATTTTGCTCCTCTGGCAGAGCAAATTCTATGCCCCATTGTATTACAGGTTATGCAGGTAGCATATGAGCCATTTGCAACCCCTTGTTTCCTAAACAGATGGTTTTCTTTCAATCTCTTTTCTAGCACAATAACATTTTTTACTTTCCTGTAGTTGTTTCTTGCAAGTCAACACAGCAATCTCATACAAAGAAATGCATGGGTATTTTGCTATGCGTTATCTGTGTATGACTTTCTTCGCAGAAAATAAACATATTTTCCTTGATCTTGAACATTGCAATCGAAGAGGTAAATTTAGTTTCATTAAACTCCCTCCTCACAGCTCCAGTCTTGCCACTCCAATCTTACTTGCAGTTGAAGTTTATTTCATGTCATGTTGTCTTGGAACTAGGATGCTGGTTTTGTGGTTCAGTCTCATGTTTGTGATATTTATCTCTACTGATAATTGCGGGTGAAAATGGAAAGCAGGAAAGAAAAAAAAAGGCCTCCATTTTTATATGCATTGATGTCCCAGGTGAATTTCTGGTAGTTTCTTCCTACTGGTGCAGTCCTGCAATAAACCTTGTTGAAAATTGGACGTAGCTGATTTTTTTGTTGCTGCTGAGGTAGCCGGAAACTGCTAGTTTAAGGTCCTTAAACGGACCCTCTTAGATTATCAAAATAATCATATGGGAGTTAATTTCATTAAGAAAATTCTGGGTAGCTTGCGTTTTGACTGATCTCCACTTCCAGAGTAAATGACTTTTCAATCTTGCAGACTATGAAATTATCCTTCATTTCTCATGCCTCAATAGATAAATACGGATTGTTAGGATGAGAAGTCGGGAGTTCCCTTTTGTACATTCTTAGGATACAGATCCAAAACCGTAACCCTATCTCCTATCCTATCATCGAAGCTTCTGCAGACAAGCTTTAGTACATTGGTGGTATCTATTCTTAGTCTTACAGTTTTATAACCCACCATTTAGTAAATTTAAAATAATTTGAGAGTGAAGTTTCAAAGACCTGATTTGCCTTGACAAAAACAGTTATATTCTAGTCTTCAAGCTAGATATGAGAAATCTCACTCTGGTCAAGAGTTTGGTTCTAATCACTTGAAGTTTCTTCAACATTTTCGCTTTCACTTTCAGCATCAGATTCCATGGCTACAGATCAGAGATTGCATCTCGTTCATATATCTTGGTTAGCTCCTCCTGTTTCATTGATTAATTAGCAACTTATTCAATTTTGATGTTGAGGGAAAGAGAGGAAACGAGAGAAAATGAATTAACTCTCAGTGTTCAGTTCAATTAGTAGCGAGAAATAGATTCAAACTTGAACGAGTATGGTACTGATGGTCATAACGAGAACATGGAAAACCAGGAGAAAGATCACCAATTGTTTTATAGCCCAACCGTTTAAACCTGTCGATTGAATTCTTAAATAATATCACGGATTTGAATTTCACAATCGTTAGTTTATTTAATAAATTAATAAAAATATAATTAACTTTTTAGTTCTAATTTTGTTTGGAAAATCTTAAAAGACGGACATTGGTGATGGTGGGGAAACAAAAGGTTGGATTAGGCATAGTTTTTAAATCCGACCCGGTGGCTGACCCGGTCCAAGGCCCGGGTTCCGGGTTTTGACCGGGTCATCGGGTTTTGACCGGGTCGAACGGGTCGGCCAGGTCAATTTCTATTTTTAAAAAAATTCAAAACGACGTCGTTTTAATAAAAAATAAATAAAAGTCAACGGGTTACCACCGGGTTTTTGACCGGGTTTTGCCGGGTCGTCCGGGTTTCCTGGTCAACCCGCCGGGTCGGCCGGGTCACACCGGGTCATGGCTTACCTTATTTTTTCATCAACCCAGCTCGGTTCCAGCCCCGGGTCGGCTGGGTCCCGGGTCAACCCGCCGGGCCAGGCCGGGTTTTAAAACTATGGGATTAGGTGTCTGGATAGCCGGAAAAAGTTCACTTGAGCAGCCATTAGACAACAACGGCATGTATCCGACTCCTTTTAGTTAAGGGCAATTGTGTCATCTTAAGAAAAAAACGTGGAGCGGCAATATCAAGTATCAACCCCGTTAGTTTCCAAACTCTCATCGTTTTTCGTTTTTTTTTTTTGGAATGACGATAACTTTTGTTCTTGTATAGTTGTTGTCTTTTACGTTATATACAATATTTTGTTTATTATTTTCACTCTTCGGAAAACTAGGGTTGTGCTTTCAATTAGGTTGCAAATCATTTCATGTATATTACTTTTTTTATTATTTTATACCTTAATTTTTTTTCACATTTTTTTTATTCTCGCATGATTTTAAAAAATAAAAATGATAAAGATAAAAGTATAATATATATATATATATAATGAATATATTTTTTACTATTTTCTGATTGTTCTATATATAGTAAAAAATATATTCATTATATATATATATATATTATTTTTATATTTATCTCTTCAATCAAATATATTTTTATCTTTATTATTTTTATTTTTTAAAATCATGTGAGAATAAAAAAATGTGAAAAAAAATTAAGGTATAAAATAATAAAAAAAGTAATATACATGAAATGATTTGCAACCTAATTGAAAGCACAACCCTAGTTTTCCGAAGAGTGAAAATAATAAACAAAATATTGTATATAACGTAAAAGACAACAATTATACATGAACAAAACTTACCGTCATTCCAAAAAAAAAAAATGAAAAACGATGAGAGTTTGGAAAAAATATATTTGTTCTATATATAGTAAAAAATATATTCATTATATATATAAAAGTTAAAATGAAAAATATAATGATGCAGCATGTTGGTTTACTTTTAAGAAATCAAATTTGGAGGAAAAAAAGGAGTATAATGCATGAAAAACTTCAGTATAAAACAACTAAATTTTTTATAGAATAAAAAATCTTCCTATAATTTTTTCTAAATCCTAATTTCTTTCATGAATTTTTTTTTTATATTTATTTAAGAATACAATGAGAAATATATTATGCCATTTCAATTCCTATTTATCAATGCCAAGCACAGTAATTATTATTTTAGTTTTTCATAATTAAATTTAAATTATTATTCGAATTCTCTCCAGATTCCTTTAATTTTTATTTTTATGTTTGTGAATGTAATTGTAATTGTTTTTTAAACATTTTTATTTAAAAATATATAAAATAATATTTTTTTATGTTTTTAAAAATTATTTTTAATATGAATTCAGATTCATGATATTCATTCCTATATGAAATACATCAACTAAATATGGGAGGAAAATGAGAAGTCTAGTCCGATTTCCAAAAGCAATCCAGTCAACACTCATGTCCCATTAGCTTTTACCTTTACCTTTTTTCAGCAAATTTAATAATTAAATATTATTATTTTCTTCCTTTTCTTTGTTGATTCTTCTCTCTTTGCTCATTGGTCTTCCAAGAAAGAACAGCAGTTTCTGTGCCTTCTCCAGCTTTCATTTTTGTCAGTTGAAGGACAAGAACAAGAGCAGAACAAATGTGTGGGTTTCAGACGCACATCTCTACCTTACTACTGCATTCTCAGGAGTTTTTCTTCTCCTTTTGACTCTTGAGAAAAACTGGCATTTTTGTTCCGGCATTCCCTTCTCCGCATATGCTATGCTTCTTGAATGAATACCCCTCTAAAATAAAGGTAAAGGGGTCTCTCTCTCTGTCTTCTTCTTCTTTTTTATCATGGCTTTGCTTTTTTAGCAATGTGCTTATGATTCCCAGCATTTCTTTCGTGGGTTTGCATTATTTTCATGGAATCCTGATTTCTTTATTTGTTTTGCATTTCTTTAGCAAGGCTAGCCTGTGTCTTTGATTAATAATTCTTCCTTCACATTGATGTTGATTTCTTTGATTCCTATTTTACTCCTTTGATGAGTTTGGTGCCTTTTTTTTTTTCTTTCCAGTTCTGCATCTCTCGTTTTGTTGTATTATTCATGGTCAATGGGTTATTCTTTTGTTAACAATGGTGGTTGTTTACTTGGCTTTTGCACTTTGAGCAATTTGTTGACCTGATCTGTCTACCTGAAAGAGCCATTTTCTTTGAGAATTATGTGTAGCCGACCCACTCAGTAGATTCTCAGTTCTGCCATCTTTTTGTTGAACCATATTGATATACTATTGCCGATTTGTCCTACCCCCCCCCCCCCCCCCCCCCCCCCTCTCTTTTTATTAATTCGGGAATGGTAAATGTCCAATGCAGCATGAGCATACTTGACTTTCTGTCATTTCTAATGAATTGGAGCACCTGAGGTTTTCTGATAGGATTTGGGGTGCTCTGGTGGAGGGACAATCTGTTCATATCTGACTCGTAGGTTAATGCCATAACTCAGAGTATTAAGAAAAAAAACTTGTATTGATCAATAAAGCCTTCACGTCCCAATTAGTTAACTTCTGTCTTTCTAAATAGACACTCATTTCTTACCATAATTTTTGGTGGGAGAGAACATAGCCGAGGAGAGAGACAGAATTGAAGCAAATAAGTTGGTATATAGAATCGTAATTTATATTTTCATTATCGTACAAATAACTCTGATATAGTGTATATTTCCATACTTATACTAGTCCTAAAAAAACATCATAAAAAATATTTTTCATAACAAAATATGAAATAATAATAATTAAGAAAAATATTTTTTCCCTAAACATCCTCCTGCATTAGTTGCATGCAAAAGATTAATTGTATGTGTTTGGTAACTGTATTATTTTAATTTCTTTTTCCATATTTTACTTATATATGGAATGGTTAATGTTTGTGTTGGCATATTTACAGATCAGAAACAGGTAGACTTGTTCCTGGTTTCACCCATAAACATGATATCACGACCCAAGAATGGGTGGCATTCTATTTTGCCCCTTAATTTCAGAGGCAAAGCAGTCACCGGCTTTTGCATTTTCCCAAAAGTTAAATCAGCAGGTTATAGCCCAGAAAACGCACCTGTCTACCTGAATGTGTATGACTTGACAAACGCTAATGGCTATGTCTATTGGGCAGGCTTCGGTATCTTTCACTCTGGGGTGGAAGGTTAGCACTTAGCAACACTTGTTACACATTGCTCATGATTGCCTTCTCTTCAATCAGATTATATATTAATAGAATGCAATGAATCATTTGATGCTTCATCTTCTCATTGGTTTTCTTCCTAAGATCATAAATTGTCCTTATGCATGCTTACAGTCCATGGTGTGGAATATGCCTTTGGAGCCCATGATTACCCATCAAGCGGTGTGTTTGAGGTTGAACCCCGACAGTGCCCTGGTTTCAAGTTTAGAAAATCAATATTTATGGGGACAACACGCTTAGATCCTAAACAAGTTAGAGAGTTCATGGAGCGCCAATCTGCTAATTACAATGGTGATACATATCATTTGATTGTTAAGAACTGCAACCATTTCTGTGAGGATACATGTTACAAACTGACTGGGAACCGAATACCGAAATGGGTGAATCGACTTGCAAGAATAGGTATTGGATAAATATCTTTCCTTCATGATACACCTCGTGCCATCTTTTGCATGGCGTTCAAATACTACGTATCAGTTGACTGCTGTGGATAACTGAACCCGCCCAAACATTCATGTTGCAATTTTATGCATGTTCCCTTCTCATCTCCTTGTGCTATCTTCAGTAAATGAAGATGGATCTCTTGTAGCTTCCGACAGCAACAAGAAACAAGAATTTAATCATATCTATGAGACTTTTTATGCGAGCTGCATGCTCATTTACCACGCTTCTTCCCCTGTTATTTTTTCCCCTAAAAATTCTTTGTATTGATATAAAACTCTTTTTCACCTATTAACTTCTTTCTTTAGGTTCGCTATGCAACTGTATACTCCCAGAGGCCCTCAAGGCCACTAAAGTACAGCATGACCCCAATTATCAAGAACGCGAAAGCGAAAAGAAGAGACTAAGAAGTTCCTTCAGTTGCTTTTCATCAATTTCAATGCCACAAAAGGAAGTCTCCATGTCTTCTTTGTTTCTGCACTCTCACTACAAAGGCTGCCTGCCACCATGGGAATTGAAGAGGTCCAGAAAGGGTTCACTTAAGGAAGGATGAAAAAAATGCCAGTGCTTTCGAAAGATTGTCAGTTGTGGTTTTGCAATTTTGAGGCATTCGGGGGATATCACCATCTTTCCTTTATAACGATTTTCTTGGAAAGTAAATATGTGCAAGGTGGTTGTTTTGAGCGCTACAATAGATCGCTTTACACTTCTTATCCCATCTCGGCCTGGCTGCCTCCCAGGAATTTGCTTGTTGTATTCTATGATTGTATTCCGATATCGTGCAGGCCTGTTTGCATTGCTAGAGAACTGATGTAGATTTTTCAGTTGCCTACAAATCACATTGATCTCTTAATTTTCAGTAGCTCTTTCTGAATTTGGTTGTGTATGCTATTTCTTTGGCTAAAAGATTCTGTTTTACGTTGTCTTTATTGTCGTTTGGTCTTGATTACTCTTTGAAACTCCATTCCCATTACATTACAAGAACACAATAGTAAAAGTTGCTTTCTGTCCATCATTTTCTTGAGAAAAATCTCATATAAAAAAAGTGTTCTAATTCTTCATGTTCCAAAATGGTGAAGATTTCCGTAAAATAAAAATAAAAATAAGGAGAGATGAAGAATGTAACTTGAGCTATAATGAAGCTATTAGGTGAGGCTGTTTATATTTAAGTATTAATATTTTAATTCGTGATCCCTTCATCTATAAAACTTCGGTCAATAAATTGTTTGGTGAGATTATAAGAGTAACTGTACAACAGAGATAAAAAAGTTGAGGTTGCTGGGGGGGGGGGGGGGGGGTTTTTTTTTTTAAATCAAT